CAGTCTTGCGCGATCCGATGGCAATCATATGGGTCAGATTTGATTGAAATGCTCACGCAACATGTTTGTGTGAGGAATGTAAACAATTCTCGATTGAAACATGGTCGGGCTGTCTTCTGAAGCACCGTGTGAGCAGGGGAAAATATCCACTCTTTATTGAGATGCGGAGTAAAATCAATCCGAAAAATAGTATGCGTTGTGACTGGTCCCATGAAAGAGCTCTGCATAAAATAGAACAGCAGAAGAAATACTGTTTCGGTGATCTCATTGAGCTCGATTTATAGAGATCTTTTTCAGGTTATCACGACTCGCGCTCCAACACACCCGTTTGAAACAAACTTACAAGTTGCTGAGTAACTGAAGCATCAGGAAGAAGGATTAGGGGTATACGGAAGTAAACGGCAATCACGTTAATCAATGTGCGAACATACTGGAATCGGCTTCCGGAAAGTCGCAGATTGACATCGCCACCAATCCAATATTGCTACCTTCCAAATACTCCGGTCAACGACAGTCACCCATCAAGCCTGTTTTACATCATGCTAGGACCATCGTTTGCGGAGAGGGCGCATATACGCAGACAATACAGACCTCTGTAGAGTACCTTCAACTGTCGAAACTTCGCCTCAAACTTTCAGATGACTCGGCCAGTACTAAGCACTCAAGAAGAGACGAGAGGTTCGATGAAGGGTAAGGAGTCGGTGAGCGCGCATAAACCAGACAAATAAAACCGGCCAGGAAATAGGCGGCAGACGTCGTTCTTTTCACTTACTTCAATGAGCAGAATTCTCACGAGAACTATTTCTCCTTATGAAGCAAGTATACCGGAGCAAAAATGTCTATCCTAGACTATCTCAAAATGAGCAAAACACAGCCAGCAAGGCATGCTTTGAATGAAGCGTTTGTAATCCAGCATGAAGTATTTTTCCGGTTGGAAGAATATGCACATTTTCAAAACAACTTAGATTTATTGGGGGATGAATCCCAGCCAAACCTTTTGTTTACAATATTCTTCCACTGAATCCCGTAGGCCGCCTCCTGTTTCAGTTCGTTTCAGTTAGATATTCGAGATATTGCAGTATATTCACTTGGCGGACCACACAGATTATAAGTTTTCTGAAATATTTTGGTAGCTGACGACCGGCTTCGACATTCCTTGGGCTCATCAGATACGTAAATCCTCCAAATTTCCGTCAAACTCATGTTTGACTTGACCAAAAATTGCACAAGCTCGGGAAGTACACCTGTTCGCAAGATAATTTGATTACCTGGCTTGGGTTGGTCGCAGCTGAGTGGGTTCTTGGCACTTTTCATTTTAAGAGGTGCGAGCAAAGCTTCATGAAATCAACAAATCAAAGCAAATATGTAGCCGACTAACTCAGCGCATTAACCCCGACAATATAGCACAGTTCTGCAATCGGTTGTGGACGCAGCTAGTGTTGCATGGAAACCAAGGTCTACAAGGAAATGGGCTTCAAATATACTTTTGTGCATAGGCGGGATAACTTGTTGTCTGTTTGCCTAAGGAAAAAGGAGGTTCCATAGATGGGCTTCTGTGTAGTGTACCTTCGGGAGTATCCCCTTCTCCGAACAGCCGAACCGAGTGTATGGGCCCTTTAACAATAGCATTCGTACTTGGTACCCACGATGCTTTTGTTCTAAAAGGGCTGATCGGATCAGCTGCCCCCTGGATATGAGTTGGATGTGATCGTGCAACTTTTTTTTCAGTTGATGGAAAGTGTATCCCGAATGCCGTCCCTGTAAATCATGTGATTGCCCGAAGGATGGAGGAGTTCCACTATCATAGTTCTGGGTAGTAGGGTGTGTGAGGCATGTATGTTTGTGATGCCCTAATTTAGTTGGTTCAACGCGTATCTGGGTATTCAGTGACTGATGATGATATCACACGATGTGAACTTAAGGTTAGGACGAAATCATTTTTGGCATTCTTCAGAAAAATTTACACCGCAAACAAAACAGATTGGTGTGCAAGATTCCGAATTGTTTTTCCTTCGCAAATGATACTTCGTATAAGATATTGAGAGTAAATATCATATGGTATGGAACAAAGCTGGTTTTCCCGGAAAATGTGTTGGAAGACATTTGTGAATATATTTATTGTACTGCTAAAGATTACATCTAGCTTATTGGTTGGCTAGTGAAAAATAGTTCAGGAATAGCAATGTTAGTAATAACTATTCAATGTCTCTAACACATGGCGGGACCACCATGGTGCGATCAACCGGAACCTACATACCATTATATATATATATATATATATATATTGACGTTAGTTTTACAAGCCAGACAACGACGCTTGCGAAATCAAGCATCCCGGAATTCCTCACTAAACACATATTGAAGTGCTAACGGCACAAACTTTCCGGTGTATGACTTTTTTCTCTGCATCAGTATCATGGACAGAATGCCATCAGTGTTAGACACTGTTGCTTTACTGCTCTAAAACTATGATTTATTTGAAAGCCCTATTGTTAAAAAAAGAATGGTGAATGGGGAAGGCACTTAGTAATACCATGCTAAAATAATTCAGAGGTACCTACACCTCCAGACATTCAGGCAATCTGATTAGAAACTGATAACAAGAATGCCACTGACATCGAGTAGCAGCCATATCTTGCAGCATCTGCAACGACGCGCAGTGGGCGTCATGCGGTCCGCACCATGGAAGGCTGGTAGCAAAGGAAGCTCCCAAACCTTCCGTAGTCTCTTTCATACTCCTATGCCAGGTCAAGAGTTGACCAGCTCTCTGCTATCGCCACTCTAAATCGGGAACGGAAAAAGTCCTCTTCGGCACGCAACTGTTCGCCATATACAGTGCATAGACTAACCGACGGAGATTCTAGAAGTAGACATATTCTTCAATGGAAGTAACCGTTGCGCAACCGAAAATTTGCGAACTGTCTCGTTATGGATGCGCTGACATCAAACTACACGAACTACGGTTCTGAGAAAACGATTGTCGAACACCTGAAGATATCTCAGTTACGCTGCTGAAACAGGCCAAATCTCACACCATACAACAAAACCGCCCGCAGTGTAGTCCCATACACACATCCCTCGAAATTCATGGATATACCGCTTTGATGCCATAGGTGTCTCAAATTAGCAAACGTCACCCGAGCCTTGCAGATTCGTGCATTGTCACAATACGATCAAAACTGACTGAACTTCCAAGGTACGTAAATCAACTCCGCAACTTCGCGTACCTCCCCTGGGATTGTACGTGGCGTTTTTAGTGAGTGTATGTCCACGGGCATGACCTTACACTTTGTGGGTGCAAAGTGCACACCAAAAGACGAGATGACTTTTTCAATTCATCCAAAACCACCTGCGCCTTCTCCTCTCCGGAGACGATATCGCCTGTACATTCGTCAAGTCTGTTTGAGCACTTCACACACGTTGCCAGACGAAACGCACAGAAGTGACTATCAAAGGGTACCCAGTGAAGCAAGGATACTTCCGCCCAGTGGCTCAAAAGCTTGGTCGCAAGGCGGCAGGGTTTTGTGGGAAGTGTAAATGTATTTTAATTTTTACAGAACAAGTCGCCATACGTGTTCTAGCCCCCAACCTGAAGGACCAGGAGACTGTTCGTCAGACCTGTAACAATTGACCAACATGGTGTGAGACTGCGAGTGTCGAGCGGACACCCCCCGGAATAGCTCAATAGGCAGCTGAGGTACACAAAACGCCACATCGCGGAAAGATTCAGTCTCTTTGTGACGGTTGGCTCAGTGGTTACTGCGCGGATTCACTGACCGGAAGATCTGTGGTTCCAACCCTACCTCTGCACTTCGACTTGTCCCGTCTAGATTTGGGCAACGTAGCAGTATCCCAGCTCTTGTGCTTCCATCGGGTGACATGGGAGCTAGGCACCGAAAATGTGCTACAGCTGAACGAATATCTTGTTCTCTCCAGCCGACCGATTATTCCTGAAATGTGATTATATGTCTCCTACTGAGGAAACAAACGAACTAGAATTGTTTGCTACCCAAAACGGTGACCGAGAGACCGACCCAAGATTGGTTTTACTACTTCCCGGAATTTGTTCCCTACCTCAAGGAATTACTGTGAATTGATTCACTCTATCATGCTGTGGATGGTTCACGAATCAGCCCCCGAAAACCTCCGAAAGTGACGTGGTTTAGGCTTTAAATGATAAATGGATATCCCTCTGAAAAACAAACCAGGGACAAAGCATTCTAGATTTTTATTACCCATATATAGAGACTCGTGTGAATGTCACCATTGCTTGAAACAAGGAAGCATGCAGTTTGATGAAGAGTGAGCTACTGTCGTATAGATGCTCGTTTGTGCGTTATGCCGTCACAGTGGCGACAAAAACACAACTTAACCGAATGAGGGACGGACCATTCAATAAAACAATGTGATTTTCGTTGCCTTCTGGAGATTCGTTTTGCCTACAGGAAATAGCGACTTTCAGTCGACACTTTCATCTAGCCTATGGAATGATCAGATACACCTTGGGCAGTGAAGCTACATGAAACATTGTCTGCACGCCGATGGTGACTGTGTGCAGCTACATGAGCAAGGATTTCCACCAGTTCATTTATTGGCGTCCTGATAGTTTTGAAAGATTACCTGGAAACCAGCGGCAGCGTTCGCTTCCAAAGTACTGAGTAGGTTGATTCAAGAAATCGCGGTTCGACAGGAATGTTACCAATTTTACTCACTCGTAAACACAATCCAGCAGTATACCTTTACGAGAAATCTGAGGAAACAATTTTGATGGTACTCTTTTTTCAGTCAGTCCTTTAGACCGAAATAAAACCCCGAAACTGAATAGTAAACATGTTGCTGACGGCTGATGTTAGGTGTTTTAGTTCAACCTCATTTTCCATTGTGTACCTCACTGGATGACCATTCTAAGGAGCCGCCATTTGTGACCAATGAATGAGCATGTAGCTATATATATATAATGTTTTTGATGCACTGGATGCGCAGTTGGATGTTGAAAAAAGCCTGAGTTGGAGCATGAGCAAACAGTACAGCGACAAATCTGAGTGATGTTGAGAGTTCAAGTTCAATAAACGATCAGTCATAATCATTGGATTATGAAATGAAACAGAATAAGTACTGAGGGAAACCAAGAGGAATGGGTGATGAAAACAAAGCTGTTTATCACAGAGGACGGATTGTTTGAGACGCAAGAATAGACGGAGGCAAATCGTCACGGAGCTACACCAAGAGCATAGGTTCCCACAGGTGGACGATAAAGTCGGGGAAAATAAAGCAGCTGTAACCGGTTGAAGGCATACTTTCTGCCACCAGTATTTTTCATTACGTTGTCTACTCGAAGACCAGTTTGGCGAAGACATTGTAGAGCGGTCTGGAAGTGACCTTCGTGCATTCCTTCTGCATTCTAGAGGTAGTGGTAGTCAGAAAGAATGCAATTGAAAACACCTATATAATGAAATCGGAAAGTGTCAAGCAGTGATCTTCAATTAAAATATCCACCACACAAAAGGAAACCAGCCAGGTTGCATTCCATATAGACAGGAACGATGAAAGTCACTAAATTGGGATAGATTGTATTCTTTATTATGGATGGGGTTTGTTTCAGTACTGCAGTAGTAGTTAGGCAGTCTCTTTAATAACAAAGTGATTAAAGCCCGGCACAGCCGAAATAAGCGATATATAACGCCAGGGATGAAGCAACACACGTAATACTGAGTGCATGCTATGTAACGGCTAAAAACTGAGATGCTCCAAACAGAAAGAGCTACACTCTGAAGAAAACAAGCTGTCTTCGTATACTCTTCAATTGGGTAAGGCAATATCGGACGCAAATCCGTTATGAGGGCACGTACAATCAACCAGACAAAGCGAACTATGGGGAGCGTGGCCAGAAGGTCCATCGGACGGGAGAAAGCGTTAGATAGCTAGCTGTTTCCCGTAGCTCTAGTGGCATAGTGTGAATACACATTTTGTGATACAACAAAGGTACTGGAAAAGAGCAAAGCCGGGTGTTTTTAGATATTCTCCATAACCGTCTGTAACTTCAATCCAAGAGCACCAAAGAATTACCGTTGGGTGGAAGTGGAGAGAATTTGTTCACCTGATGTATCCTAGTATGCCGACATCTTCACAAGGTGTGTAAAAGAGAAAAATGGGAAGTTGACTGTAGAATCTCAGCAGTGTGTACACTGAAGTGGCTCCTTTTGTTCAGAATGAGTAGTTAGCTTGTACCTACCTTATCTTATTACGGTACTCGATTATTGAGAAGAGCCCATAAAAGTTATACAAGCATTTGTGTTGCCGCAAATTTTTACGTACCCCTTGAAAACTCAAAAAAGTAGCTATTGGCAAAATGTCAAAGTCCGATTGCGATAAATTGCCTTAGGAGACTAGCGGTTGACGAGCACAACTTTCTAAAACGTGCTCCTTCTGATTTCCAGTCAACATCTAGTTGGATATATGTTATTTTCTTATTTTCAAATGCAAAACAGCAGTCCCAATTCACCAATAACCGAGCTGAGTTTAAAGCTCAGAGAGATTGTCCAGCTTCGTTGTTGCCATTATTGTTTTACTCATGATGATTTTCCCATTTCGGCCGACTTAATTAACCTAAAAAGTCCGGTTGTTCGCAAATCACCATTCCGGAAGTCATACCCGGTTATGAGATGTAAACAATGACCTGCAGTGCATCGTTCATGTTTTTGTTACTATGATAAGCAGGAAGGGTTAGGGTGTTCGTAAGTGCAGACGATTTGCTTAAAATAGTGCACAGGGATTATATTGTTAACCGCAATCAACCGTGGAAATATGGGGCAGCTAAACTTAAATAACTGCTAACCCTTCACTGTCTGTCAAGACGATAGTACGACTTACATACACACGTACAAAGATAACTTCGAAAAACGGTTCTGAGATAAGGTTGGCTGAAACTAGACTGAAGTTTGAAGTTACTGGTAGTGAAGGCAGTTCAGTCAATCCCATATCAACAGGCATACAAATTTCTCTTGAAACAACATTTAGGTTATCCTTATATACGAAAAATCATTACGTTTCCGGACTAAAAAGCCGATTGTGTAAAGAATATAGAAAGTGGATAAAGTAGAGACCAGGAAAATCGGAAGAAAAACGCTTTGTAGTCTTTCGTACTGATTAAATTTGTCTCAACTTCGTACTAGTTGCACGGGCACAGTATCTCTCAAGATATATCACCTTAGTACAGTCTAGAAGCAGGTCACAGAAGCGCAATTATGGCAGATCGGGCAAGCGAGACAAGTGGGATAGATTACCCAGAAGACAACCCAGAAAACCTTATAAGGAAAAGAAACTCGCAACAAACGGAAGTGGCACTATATTTTAACCACAACGATGCAAACACCAACAAACACGTATGCACACACACGCAAGTACGTACTTGAGGCATCCATACAAACAAAAAAACGCAAAAAGCGCAAGTATGTACTGGAGACCAGTATTCCACCGGAAGTATTGCCAGCTTTGAGTTGGGCATCTGTCATTACTGCTTTGACGAATGACTATACAGAAAGGAGTGTGTCGTAGGCGGAAAAGTACTCATAACCAGACAGACACAGGAATGGGAACAAGCGTAGCTGTGGGAACTATAGTTAACGGTTTCTTAAACCCATAAGTTTGGTAGAAGTTGTTCTGGCTTTATTCTGGGAAAACGGATAGACTGAATGCTCTGTCGTTGTTTTGCCCGCCATTGTCAAACTCTGTGAAGAAACCACAAACTAAACCGTGTTCTAAATAGACGTCGGGAAAAATACCAGTGTCTGAACATTCAACGAAAAAGCCAGAACTCAAACGACTTGGTAGTGGACGAATCATACACGTACGTGCTTTAGAATGAGATGCGATGCATACTAGCGGATGGTTATGCATACTAATACAACAAACCGATATGGCGGCCTATAGTGCACAAAAGTCGCATTGGGTTTCCGCACACGCCACGCGGAGTCACACCAACCTGGTACGGTTAAAGTGAGACCCTCAGGTTCAGTTGTAGGTGACAGGCGGGCCAATCGATCGACACAACCAAGACAGCTTCTGAGTCGTCGTTTAAGCCACCGGGCCAACCATTCGCATTACTCGCCTGTTCAGATGGGAAACCTCACATGCGTCCCTGTGCACTGATGTGGTGGTTAGGCACTTGCCTCGCATTTCAGGTGTCCGAAATTAAGACCCCAGCAGGACGAAGGATATGTAAGCATTGCCGGTGAGCTTTAATAAAACCGAAACCCGAGTCCAGTGCGAACTCCCTTCGGTGTGGACCCACCAGAATGATTACTCCAGGGCACGAGGAAGACGGTCCAAAAGAGTGATGTGAGCGTCAATCTTAATGCTCAGAAAAACGGGTCAGCTACGACAAACACTCATCGGTTGCAACAATTTGTCGACGATGGCGATTTACGCTCACTGGGAATTACCTTGCGTCTTTTGTGAACTCTTCCAAAATGATCATTTTTGTCAAAGTCGGACTACATATTTTTCGTAACGAACACGGATATCCGATAGACCGTTGTGTTTCGTTCCTTGACTCAGGCACATCCAACCACTATTGAGATTAGTTAACAGTATTGTACTCCATACATTTCGCATTTCAAGTAACATTTCTTACATTCCTACTTTTTCCCACCAAAATCCCAGTCTCCTATTGCCCTATTTGCGCCGAAAATTGTGCGTGCGTGCAGCGAGTAATGCATGCATCCTAACATTAAGGTCTGAAACGGTGTGAATTTTCAATCCCTGCCCCATCTGTGGAAACCTGGGAAAGAGGCAAACCCAACTAGGTGCGTTCGCCGCGCTCACGTAGGACATGGAAAAAATGCACTTAAGTCGACACGTGACATTGACCAGGCTGGTCTAGTGAGGGGACGCGAGACATGGAAGGCTCCAAATTGTGATGCAGACATCGATTTTCACAGTCTGTTAGATTTACAGATGCGTGTCCCGCAGTGGGAGCCAACGAAAAGCTTAATAGCTTACACAGACCCTCGTGGGTCGCTGCTGAAAAACCATGGGCACTTAGGGAATAAGTATAAAAAATCGCTATTAGCGTCACACCCCACTGGCTGTAGAGTTTGCGCAGACATGGATAACATTGTCACGTCCATCCACCGTACATACTTTGAGATATGTTGAAACCTAGTGACTGACACGAATCAAGTGCTAACAATGTAGTGAAATCAGATCAAGGGAAGGGTGGTGGGCAGCTTACCATGATTAGAGACCTATGAAGTGCACGCAAGCCTAGCATAAACCCTATGGAAAATTTACCCAAGCATATATGACCTGAATTTCCTAAATCACTATCAGGACACTTATTCTAGTAAAATGAATTCCAATAGATTTTTCTGGCGCGAAAAACGCACGTCAGTGGTACCAGCGCCAAGCAAACATGTCGGCTGACAGTTACACTATCAAAACAATAGGTTCTAAACGGCATTTATTCACTGTGGTGAAACATGTGATGAATATGTGTACACTTGTATGTACGATTGGACAGCACTATCTAGGACGTGGACGTAGTTAGTGCAGATTTAAGCCAAGCCACAACATTGAACTGAAAGGCTGAAGTCTACTTGGATGGATCACACAGAAGGCCAAATATGCTTTCAATAAAACATCATAAGGGATGACCGATGTCGAGAATTCCGATCAATCGAATATCCAGGGTGAAACAGTAGAGCTGCATATACGACAGGCTAAGAGTGAGCGATAATGAGTACGCCCACCACATCAGCAGATTGTGTTCGCGCAAGTAACTTGCGGGGGCGAGCATTAGCAAGTCATTGATTCGATCACCAGACAAACGCTTCCAGTTTACTTTCGAATCACGTTAACTGCGACCAGTTCACAAGGGCTTTGGTATTTCCAAACCTCATGATTACCCGAAATACAGGCCTGCGCCCACTCGTTCCAAAGGTTTCTTCGCCTCCATAACGTGTCCCCTTTCACTGTCCTCCTTTAGGAATGATTTCCAACTGCCACCATAGTTAATTTTCGCCCAGTAAATCAAACGATTCCAAACTATCAGGAGAGCGAAACGCAGATCAACTCTGACTCTCAACGCAAACCAACGAGACTACGAAGATGACATTTACAGCAGAGCTAACAGCGGTGACTGCTTCGTATTAATAGTTCGGTGTTAGGGAAATATATTACCCAAAAGCTGCGGTATTGTGTATGTAAAATAAACAGAAACCAATCACGAATTCGTATTCTAGGGAAAAAGACTAATTCAGCCTAAATATAATAATGGAAAACTGAATAGCGTGGCTGACCTTGAGCCATCGGATTTGCTCCAACGTTACCGACATTCCGGTGCGATCTTTGGCAGATTTGCAACTTGTAAAGCGGATTCCACCGAAAGCTTGCGTAATTTCCGAAGCATATTCAAGTATTTCTATGGGTTTGCTGCGAACTGGAGGATCAACGAGGTGATGTATATTGGCAAGCACATCGCAAACATCTTGGTTGGATGGTGTACGAGCTGAAAGGAATAACAGAGAAACAGCATTATGTGACAGCGCTTATGAGATGCTTCACCATGTAAACGAGATGTATGTTTATAGACCGAATGGTAGATAACCTGGAGCGACCATATGAGAATTTCAGACTCACTTCATCAAACACTACACTACTCCTTAACGTACCAAATGGATGACTGGGTTCAGATAAGATCAACAGCTAAGATACGAGGCCATTGAATCCGATCCTCCATGAATGGATACTGTATTACTGGGCAAACTTTTGCGGTATGGTAGCACTTTAATCTCTGTGAAGAATAACAGCCACGAACTAAAAGGACAACATAAATGAATACATAAACCCATCTGTCTCAGAAATTCAGACAACCGCTAACAATGCAACCGGACAAAATCATCGTGTCACCGGTGTATCGAAGGTGTTCTTATTGGTTTTTGGTCAGGAAAGCTGGTGGTCGCTTGGCCGGTTTGCCCACCGGCTTGAAAACATCTCGCTGCTATTCGAAGAACAAACGCAAATCGATACTGGTCGCATCTCCGAGTATCTTCACGACAGTGCTTATGCCCCCAACTTTCTTAAAATACAAACTTGCCGGACCTAGTAGATGAGGTATATACTACGCAAACTGAATTTGCGAAAACCAAGAAGAAACTCTTCCCCGGATGATGAAATGACAAAACCGATCACTATGCAGGGTCTGCACGACTGCCGCGTTGATATCGTCTATCTTTCCGACGGCCATTTACCAAAGCGTGAAACCAGAAATATCCTGTCCATGAAGCGAAATCCCCCTAATCAACTTTACAGCTCTTAAACGGATGTTCATCTCCAATAGGTACTCACGGAAACGTCTTCCCATTTAGTACTTGAACGACAAACGAACAGAATCGAGTATCTTCTTGTCTTGTACCAGGATTCGTCCGAATAGGACTGTTGGTCCCACCGAGGAGCTTCGAGTTATAATAATGCATGGTAAGTTCACACATTTGTTCGTGAGAATTCCAAACTGCACCATAAAATGGATCCAGAGCGTTGTTCTTCTCTAGCGTCAGCGTCAGGAATACGGAGCACGTAACGAAAATGTGTCTCAAGACCGCGTAGACCAGCCCTGGAAGCCATCCCTCGGACCAACTAAGGGCTTACTCACCACCACCAGAGGTAGCAATATCAGTGATGACCTTGACGCTTCACTACCGTGAAATAAGGAGTTGATCAACTTGGCATCCAGTGCACCTGATGCTAAGACCAAGGCTCGGTGACCATGTACAGCTGCAGTGTGCGAGGTTCACATAACCGTCTTATTTCCCCACAGGAAGCAGGGGCAAAAAAATTACGGTCACCCGGAAAACAAGCGTATCAACCAAAACTAATGCATAATGTATAATGACGGCACCCTGCCTGACAGTGAAGCGTCTGTTCAGCTAAGCCAGTAGACCGAACCTAACAACCAAAATTCTACTAGGACCCACTAATAGCTGGGAGCTCTAACAACTCAACACAAGCTATCGCTGACCCGCAGATTTTCGTTCCGCACCAACAAAAGGCAGTTACAGTCTTCAAAACACTTCCGAGTTTGTCGGCTACTGCACTTCCTGCTGCTACCCAGGAAGCACAGTTTGCTGACTTGACCGTCGACCGGAGTGCTGAGCTTACAGCCTGCAGACTTAGCCTAATGATGCTCAGCACTAGCTGGGCATATGTCCGTGACCAAGATGCGTTTCCAAAAAAGAACTGGCATGCATTGTGGAGCCCAACCGTCCAGTTGTACGAAATTACACTGACAGCCATGGGTCATCAGTTGAACATACTGATAGCCTTAGAACTGCTCCCTTCTGTTTGCCCTCCGAGCTTATACTCTCGGATTTATACCGGATACATGACGTTTAGGTAGATGGGCATGCGATTAAGCGCAGGCATTACCTATTGCCCGCAGCTACCAATCAGCTTGGTATGATGCGGGAGGATAACCCGGAAACTGATACCAGCTTCTTTCATATTTTCACTTTCATGACACAAACTCAAATTCTCGCACACATGTGTTATACCGTTTCGACGGTTATGAACAAGAGGGTATATTTGGATCACTCAGTTCTTGGTTAGCCGTTTCTATTAAATAGGCAACGCAATTACCGGGGCTCTGTAATAGGTAGGAGGATTACAAATGGTACCGCCATCTCACAGTATGAGCGCAAAGGCGCACAGGTGTCCGGTAAAGACCGGAGCAGACTTACATTTGAACGAAGTCGGCTGGAAAAGGAAGAAACCGACATAAACGATCCACTGGAGTTTACAGTGAGTGTGCTGATTACCAACGATTCCAATTCTACACGGGCATGCGAGCTCCTCACATGATTTTGGCTATTTTCGCAACTTAGACACTTTCAAATGAGCAGCGGACGTGCTAGTACTGGCATGAGTCGTGCCCCAAGTCTGGAAGGGTGTATGCATTCGCTTCCAAAGACAGAACGTCCAAGCTATTTGGCCAGAACTTTGTCCTAAGATTCCATTAATTCGTTCACCACAACACATACGATCTTCCAGACCTTCACCAAGCATGTGTCAAATGTCTAAACTGATGAATCCTAAGATGCATCCCAAGGGAACGCAGCTTTCCAACGAACATCGTATGGTTACGGACGCACATAATTCAGCCTGAGGAAGCTTCTTACCAACGAGTGCTCCAAAAGTCTTTCTTCTATCAACAGATATCAAAAAGAAATAACAAAAGCAGCCAACTCACTTCACGGCAAATGCCTTCTTTGCTGACCGAAATGTGGACAGCTGACTGAATTAGTTTTTAGATTTCCCTAGTGCATAGGTGTCCAGATAAGCTCCCATCAGAAAACTTGTGACAATACGAATTAGGCAAAGCTCGACCGTAAAAGCAACAGTTGGTCAATATGTAGGAGGTGGGAAATGTGATGCATTACTGTTCCTTCCCAAACGACTTGAGAAAACCCCTTGTGGTCCCCTCTTGTTCTCTTGGAGTTAGTCAGACTGTGATCTCTTTTGAAACGGAGGTTTACCAGTGAACCAGTACAAAATTCCATGTTCCGAAAATTGGCATCGTCAAGAGCACAACCAGCAAAACGGATGGGATTAGAATGGGAATAATAGCCAGTTTGTATGGAGCTCTCGTCGTTTAAGAAAAGGGATAGCAATGGGCCCACACATTCACCTGAAAACGAGGGATTGGACCAAATATACGACCTTACTCAATCTAACGTGCTGTCCAAAGACCGCCTCACATTTGAGTCAGAACGACTCTTAAAATTTTTCTCGACAGAACGTCACTTAATAGGGCCAGAGTTCCCATCAACTTTATATGGTGTTACGTCAAGATCGCAAAAATGCATACCCATCACGCAGATTTCTGAAGTCCTTAGCCCAGAATGCAAAGTTATTTGAGAAAAACTGTTTTGGCAAGATGGAGTGCAACCCCCAAATGTATTTAATTCCAGATTGGGGGTTGGGGTATATCTTGAAATGCCAAAACG